GATCAGATCGAACTCACTAAAGACATATTGGATAGTCTGAAAACTATGTACAAAGAGCAGAATCATTCTACTCGACAGAAGGTCCTGAAACAGTTCATGACCGCACAGATGACTAAGGGGCAGCAAGTGCATGACCATTATCTTCAGATGATGGGCTATAGAAACGAGTTGGAGGCCCTTGGTTCTAGGCTAGATCTGGTCACAGAGATCGATGCTATTCTCAACTCTCTGCCTCCGTCCTTCAACCCGCATTATGAATTATAATATGAACAAGCTGAATGTCAGCGTCCAAGAGCTCAGCAATATGTTGCAAAGAGTTGAGGAATTAATAAGGAAGGATGAGCCAATAGCCATGCTTGTTGAAACTAGCAAATCCGGCAAGAAGAGGAAGGCAAAGAGAAAGCCCCAGAAGAAGGCCACCAAATCTAAGAAACAAAAGAAAGACAAGGCATCCGATGCCTGTCACTTCTGTAAGCAAGCTGACCACTGGAAGAGGAATTGTCTTGCCTACCTGGAATCTAAGAAAGGTACTTTCGAAACTTGTGTCATGGAAACTAATTTATTAGTGACTTCTGTGTCCTGGTGTGTTGATTCCGAGGCTTTAACTCATGCGTGTAACTCACTGCAGGGGTTCAAAGTAAGCAGAAGGCTGAGTGAAGGAGAGGTGACACTTTACTTGGGGACTTCTGCAAGTGTTGCAGCTACGGTGATAGGAACCATAGAATTAAGTTTTAGAGAAGGGATTTTTGTACTAAAAGACTGTCTTTATGTACAAAATCTAAGAAGAAATTTGATTTCTATTTCTAAACTGTGTGTGGATGGATATACTGTCTCTTTTAGTAATGTGATTACTATCAAAAGGAACAACAAATTCGCATGCGGGGAACTAGAGAACGGTCTCTATGTTCTACATCCTTCTCTAGAAACTAACTTAACCAAAATTACGGCGGTCGAAATCCCCAAGAAAAGGACTCGTGACATAGTTAGTTCCACGTGCCTGTGGCATTACCGACTTGGCCATATCGGTATTGACCGAATCACAAGATTGACAAAGGATGGTCCTTTGGGTTTTCTAACCGTAGAAAACCTTCCCACTTGTGAGCCTTGCCTTAGAGGTAAGATGACAAAGCGATCATTTAACGGTAAGCCTGAAAGATGTACAAGCACGCTTGACCTTATACATTGTGATGTATGTGGTCCCCTGAGTGTTAGGACCCGCAACCAACATGTGTATTTCATCACCTTTACCGGTGATTTCTCACGATATGGTTACATGTACCTAATGAGAYATAAATCTRAATCSTTTGAAAAGTTCAAAGAGTTCAGACAAGAGGTCGAGAAACAGTTAGGGAGAGAAATTAAGGCCCTTCGATCA